TCTCGATCTCTCAAACAATATTGCCACTCTTCGCCGCCCGCACTTGTATACGCAGCATCAAGAGCAACAAACATGTCCTCAATGGTCAGCGATGAGCCCTGATTAGCCGCGAACACGGAAGCAAATTACTCGAGCACGAAAGTACACATACAAAGCACACCATCCACAGAACTGTACGTCACGCTGATCGCGGCCGCGACCGTCAATGAGCTGTGCACTCAATCCTCGCCAAACACATCGACGGCGTCGACGATGTCATGCCGCACGCCATTCGCACTGCCGTTCAGGCCGTGCGACGCAGCAGCCTCGTCGACTTCGCCCTCGGCGTCCGCATCGGCATCCCCGCGTGCGAGGGGGAAGAGGGGGTCAACGACCTCGGAGAGTGCATCCTCGCGCTCTTGTGCCTCTTCAGCGCTCATCGGCGTGTGCGTGAGCTTGACGACGTCCCACTTGTCGCCGTACGCCTCGTACGTCTGCAACAAATCATAAGCATACGCCTGGCAAAGAGCTCACAGGCGAGGAGGTAGTGACATACGTTTACGCGCTTCCTCTTGAGGAGCATCTTGCGCTCGATGTTCTTGTAGTAAGCCCCTTTTGGCCGTGGCTGCGCTGCCTTCTTGTCATCGAGGGCGTCTTCGTCAGCCGTGCCGTCGTCCAGAACGAGCAGGAACTCGTTTGGCACTTCCTGTTCGACTTTGACAGTCTCGTAGTCGCGCACGAAGTGAAAGTTGGTGGGCTGTGGAGCAGAGCATCAACAATTGACGCTGCGCATGGTTCTGAAGGGCGTACCTCGTCCTCTGGAGGGTCGTCGGGCGAGCGGGCGAGGCGATTGCGCTTGAACTCCACGGCATCCTCGTCCTCTTTCGTTAGGTAGTAGGCCAGGAAATGGTCTCCGTCCGCCTCCATGGGACGCAGGACTGCGCAGTCAAGGCGCGGGTCATCAACCTGTCGATGTCAGGTCAGTACGTTGACACTACGCGCTGGACGATTGCTATCCTCACATCCAGGGGCCTATCTCCCGGCCGCTCCGAGAATCGGAACAGGTCGTACGCATTCGCCCAAATCTCCGCATCAGGGAAGATTTCGAACTCCTCGACGGCAGTGAGCTCGGGTTTTGTGGGGTGTCGCAGCGCGGAGAGCTCAGACTTCGCGATGGCAGCGAAAGACGCGTCGATGTCGCGCAATTGTGCATCGCGCGAGACGTCGATTGTATTGTCCCGATTGTGTTTACTGGCGTAGCCACGCGTCAGCATGCATCGCGGTCGGGCTGTTTTGCCGGGGGACCTACACGTCTGAAGACAGAGCACTGCGTGAGTAGCCCTCGCGACTAAGGTACTCGGTCTTCCTTAGCCACGCCACGTTCGGCATCGGTGTTGCAGAAAGATGAGTTGCGCCAGGCGTGGAACTGCCGATGAACGGGCTCCCTGAGGATGTAGGATCGCCGAGCAAAAACAAGTCTTCCGGGTCGGGATTTGACGGTTGGCTCGGATCCGGGTTCAATTCTTCGTGTTTCCGCGCGCGCCGAGATGAACACGGGGGTGCTAGAGGAGAGGTAGCAAAGAGACGTACCAGAATCATCTCCGTTCTCCTCCCACAAGCAGTCCCACTGCGACAGATCCAGAGGCATGCCCAGCTCGCCATCTACAACCATAGGTAGTGGTGTGCTTGCTGCAATCTCGTCCAGGAATTCGGGCCGCGCGTAGCGCATAGCGTCGGTGGGTATGTCGAGGAGCTTGGGGGGACATGGCGGCGCGGGGAGGGGGTTTGCGTAGCGAACGCGTATAAGCAAGTCGAGTTTACTATGTCGCGCGTCAGATTGTACAGTCAATACACGGACGCGCTCAACCGACCTTTTCTTGAAGCTCATGGCAGTTGGCAGTACTGAGGTGCCCAGCCGTGGCGACTGTAGCGGGATGGTGGTCACTGACGCAAACAGGAACAACTAAACGCTCTCCTGTAAGCGCTGCTTTGCAACTCACTTTGCTCACATTCTAGGGTTAGGGTCTTCCACCTCTTGTTCGCAGTCTTGCAACCGTCCTGCAAGGATTAATTCACTGAGACCAGCCTGTTACACTAGCAAGTCATAATCGGTCAATTTTCCAGGATTTGAGTGCAGCTATGCCGGAAGAAACGCAGACAGAACCTGTCATCGCATCTGTCGCCGAGACAGAGTCTGTGGCCACGGTACCCTGTGCGATGTCAGTCTTTCATCTTACACGATCCCGGTCTGAGTACCTGAATCCGTCCACAGTTGTCGAAGACAATTTTCGCGCTACACCTGCCCTCGCTGCAATATTCCTTATTGCTCCCTCGTCTGCTTCCGCTCCGAGGTAGGGTGTTCTATCACACTGTGTCAACAAACATGTGCCGACTGTCCGTTGGCAGAAACATGGTGACTGTTCTGAGACATTCTATCGGAAAGAAGTGGAGCTGGACGTGAAGACCGCACCGTCTGCGAGCGTGGAAGAGAAACGACGCATGATGGACCTCCTGAGGCGCTTTGAAGAAGATGCGCTCGACGATAGCCCTCTTCTAGCGGATGCAGACAACGACGAGAGCGATACAGAAGGCCTCTCCGCAAGGCTTGAGAATGTTGATCTAGGTATAAACACCATGCCTGTATAGCACGCTTTCCGCTGAATATGTTTAGATTCTGCTTCGTACGAGGAGCTCTGGGATGCTCTGACCCCCGCGCAACGCGAAAAGTTCCTGCACGCGCTGGACGACCCGCATAGCGAACTTGCGCAGAAGCTCCTCTCCAGCGCAGAGTTGGAGAGGGACACAGTGGTACCGTGGTGGGAAACACCAACCCAGCCCGACTCAGACGATTTGCCTCGACCATCCGACCAACCTACGGACCGGAGACATGGTCTCAGGCCATCAATCATGCCAATCCCCGCGCCGCTCGCAAAACAATCGTCAGCCACCGCGTTGAATAGTCCGTTTCTCCTATACAATCTATGCGCACTCAGGTGGGGGTTACATGGTAACGACTATGGACTCGCTCGTGGTGTGCTGATGGTCTGCGTGGAACAGCTTCACATACGTGTACATCGTGCGCCATTTCGCTGTCTCGCCGCTATCGTCACTTGAGCCCGCAGATCCGGCGCGCGTCGAGATAAGGCGGTCAATCTCTCAACTGGTCCCCTTCCTCACCGATCGCAAATCGACACTCGTGCACTCATCTCTATCGAGCGTCGTAACCGATCTCTGGTCGCGATTTCCTCCGGTACATATATAGTATCTCGTTGCTGAAGCATTCCTTTGCTCATCCCTCCTCATAGGGCCACATGGACTCGCGGTTCTTCTCCCTGTTGCTGAATGACAGCGCGTTACTTTTGCGACCTGCAACTGTGGCTGTCGTCCCACCGCCCGGAGCGGCTGTCACAGAAATAGAGCTGAGGGCAGATCCCAGCGGAAATATTCTCCGGGTTCTCTCTGACCTCTCCGAGTTCTTCAGCCACGCAGGGGAGGGGGCCCGAGCGAAAGACCGCGAGCCCGATCCGTCACGAGCAAACTTGAAGTCAAACCACCTCGTGCACAAGCTCACGTTCTACGCTGCATATGTCCTGGGCATGCCTGCGCCTATGCTACGGGTGCTCGCAGACGAGGTCATGATGCGTGCGAAGGCTCTAGAGAGTGAAGCGAAGCGGGGGGTCTCGATCCACAGCAAGGATATAAAACGGGTCGGGCAGAAGCAGGCTCAGGGAGGAGCGAGGATTCAGGAACTGACATGATTTGTCTAGGTCGAGTAGTCTGCCATTCCCCTGCTGAAAAGCGGAGTGTAAGATGCATTTTGTGGATCATGTAGCGATTGTCGTTGTATTGCAGAATCGTAGCTTAGTGTGGTGGGGTGAGCGGTGTGCATCTGGTGTACTCCCAGCCGAGAGGACCATATGATCTACTATATAGCCTCAGTCGTTGACGTTCAAAGACTTTGCGAAATTCGACTACTGACCTTGATGCGCGATTGTATTACATGGCTGTTGTCTGGGGCGTCGAGGTCAACGTGTGCATGGAAGTAGCTAGGTCGATTCGGCAACACTGCAGTCATTTCGTGCGTCCCCGTATTCCGGCATGCGACTTGCTGGAATGGCTCCCTCTTCAATCGCAACTACCATCCGCAGGGCCATCCTTCCACCGCTCATCCAGATTCTCCACCGCGCAGTCGAACCGCTCCTTCCCCAGCCGTTCATTGACCTGGTTATGCTGTTCACACAACCACCGGCTGAGCGCCGCGCGACTGCTCACGTCCGGCGGGCGCGTCTTCATCTCCTCGCCGAGGTGCGTCGCGCACACCGAACACGGGTAAAGCACGGGCAGCGCGCGGAGGAGCGACAACATGTTCACGCGGTGCGCCATCGTCGGCCTCTCCGGGTAGTACGCCGCGGTCGTGTGCAGGAACGTCCACGTCGCGCGCCCGAGCTGCTCCACGTCCGGCGGGCAGTTCTCCGGCCGTGCGTACGGGTCGGGTTCTGCGGTGGGCCCGAGGGCGGGCGCAGCCGTCTGCTGGGATGCGGAGGTGGTGGTAGCGAAGCCGGTCCCCGACGCGAAGGCCGCCATCATGGCGGCGGTCTTCTGTTGGCCAGAGGCACTCTGCACAGTCCGTTGCGCGTTTTGCTTTGGCTGCTCGGCGCGCGGCTTCCAATGGCGAAACGCGGTACAGATTTTGCAGGGCTTCCCGTCCGGACCTATGACCATGCCTGGTGGGAGGGGCGACTTGGAAGACGAGCCTGAGGAACTTGCAGCCTTGTCTGCGGCAGACATACCGGAGGTCAAGGAGTTGGATGGGGATGACTAGAGTGCGGAGGCATGAAAGTTCAAAGCTCAAAGTGTAGACACTCGCGTGGTGCCCGACCTCGGAGTCGGCAACTTCGGGCGCTTGTGTGTAATCAGAAGAATATTGGCATCACGTGCACTTACTGGTATTATTGATATCAATACTAAATCTGCGAGGAAACCAAAAAATAGATACTAAATCTTTCCCGAGGAGAGTAAAATGACGAGAGTGGGATTCGAACCCACGCCCTTTCGGACCAGATTACCGGCTACGGCCTTAGTCTGGCGCCTTAGACCGCTCGGCCATCTCGCCTTATATACTACATGTTTTAGGAGGAGTCGCGTTCAGCGGGCGTCAAAGTATAACATATGCCGTGCGATAGACATATAAGGCTTGTTGCAATGACAGATCCGCCTCCGATTGCTTCGAGTTGACTCGAAACTTTGCGTACAACTAGGTCCAGACACGAACCACAATGACTTCAAGACGATTGGGTTCTACAGCTAAGCCTATTGCCCAAGAGATACGCAGGTCTAAGGCTCTTCGGTTTGGATGTCAATAACGGCTGCTATGCTCCGAAGCCCAAGTCCGGCGGCGTCGCGGTGACGTAGCTACTTGGCTAGGGGCAATCGATCAATCCCATTCAACATAGAGCGGAATCACATAACTAGAATCGCCAAGCAGCAAAAACTCTCTGTCGGGGAGTCGAACCCCGCTTTCGCGCGCACAGTAAAGTGACAGGCGCGTGTACTAACCGATATACTAACAGAGAGTTGGTATTTATGATGCAGAGTAGATCATGTTCGACTTCCATGAGTAAAATATTGGCAGAGCTCCCTATTTTGTGCCACTTTAAGCGGCTTATCGGTACACAGCACTTCCACTCGTCCACCGCTGTAACTCATGGCGCATTTCCCCTACACGCGTCTCATTGTCGGGGACAGGAAAGCCCTTGCAGTGTCGGGGCACCACTTCCATATCATAAACGTACAGTGCGTGAACTCGTTTGCGACGCAGCTATATTCGGCTAAGTCTGCCCGAGCCAGCAGCGGCGAAATCATCCACTCCACGACAAAGCTCAGCGATCAGGCCCAAGAGGGGCTGGAAAAGTCTGGCGCGATCCGCTGCGCCGCTGTAGACCCGCAATTTGCGCATATCATCACCACCGCGGATGACAAGCGGTTAAAGGTGTGGCAGGTCGGGAAGGACTTCACGCTCTTGAGTGAGCGGTATGTTTATGTTTGGCAATACAATGCACGCCATTGCTCACGGTCGAACAAATTTTGCAGGGAACTGCCCAAGAAGCCCACCGAGATAGGTTTCACTCGGGATGGCCAAACAGTCGTCGTGTCCGACAAGTTCGGCGACGTGTTCAGGTGCGTTCTTCACGATGCCGCGGGCGTCGATGCCGTGTCGTTCAACTGCGCAACAGCTATCCCCTGCATCCCGACCCCACTCCGGAACCTTCTACAAGCCAGAACGACGCGCCGAAACGAGGCTCGTTGACGGCTCACGAAAATCCTTCCGACGGCACCCTCATCCTGGGCCATGCCTCCATGCTGACGACCTTCCTACTGACGGTGGACGACCAATACATCATCACCGCGGATCGAGACGAGCATATACGCATCAGCTGGTTCCCAAAAGGCTACGTGATCGAGCGGTATTGCTTGGGCCACGAAAAGTACGCCTTCCAAACGGCATTCCATCTTGTTGCGCACTGAGTTTCTGGTGGCTAGATTTGTCTCCGCGCTTCATATACCCCCCTTCCACCCGTCGACGCTTGTATCTGGTGGCGGTGACCCGATGCTAAAAGTCTGGGACTGGATGTCAGGAGAACTCCTTGCGGAAATAGCGGTGTTTGATGCAGTAGAACATCACGTACGAGTCAAGGCGCCGAAAAGGCGGCACGGCGGGAACGACGGAGACGTTGAAGGCGAGGTAGGTTCTTCCGATGCCAGAGTAAAGAGCAGGGGTAGTAAAGGCAGGAGAAGAGGGAAGGGGAAGAAGGGCGCGGAGGGAAGTTTGGAAGTAGAATCGCCAGCGGACGAAGCGTCTCAAGACCAGGCCGGGAAGCTCGCCGCACGTGGTGGGGATATCCCCATGACAGAAACAAACACGCCAGGACCCAGCGACAACGATATCCAGCCTGCGCTCGGTGCCAATGACGACTCCCAGCTTGTCTTTGCTGTACATAAAATCCAATCTGTCGACCGTGGGGAGCATGGACGATTTGTCCTGTTCACTGCCGTTGGGTCAGTCGCCGCTCTCCCACCCATGTCCTGTCCCACCTGACCGCTTGCGCAGCGCTGCCGCCGTGTTCTACGCACCCTTCCCTGCCAACGGGGAGAAACTCCCCGCTTCCGCAGTCCGGACCTTGACCTTCGGAAGGCCCGTCATCGACTTCACTGTCTCGCAAGAGGGACAGGTGTGGGTACTGCTCGACCCGAACTGGGAATCGACGCCGGACGCGCCGCCAAGCGACAGCGCCGCCCCTGTGCGCCTGCTGTCCTGGCAAGACGGAACGGTACGCGACACGCCTCGCCTCGCGTCCATCATAGACCCATTGACCGCCCGTCCGCGACAGCTGGCAGAGGCCCCCGGCACGCCCCCGCCCCTCGCCGCCGCGCTCACCTCAAACTGTCCCGTGCCCGGTAAATCCTCTCCCCGCCGCCGTCATCCCGTCGAGGCACGCCCCGCTGATCCTCTTCCCCCCCCCCCCCCCCACCTGCCCGCGCGCCCAGCGACCGCGGCACAGCTGAAGGGGCTCGATCTGTACGCGGCGCTCTCCGCGCTGCCCAAGAACGTCGACCCGGAGCACGACGCGGTCGTCCGCGACACGCTCTCCGAGGCCGCCGCCGCCGCGTCCGTGGACGGCGCGGGCGTGGACGGCAAGCCGCTCACGCAGCGCGAGCTCGGGCGCCTGAGGAAGAAGCAGGCGCTGCTCGCGAAGATCCAGGAGCAGGCGCAGGCGAGGCATGCGAGCCGTGAGGGGACCGCGGACGCTGCGGACGCTGAGAGGGAGACCAAGAGGGCGCGGTCGGAAAGCGCCGGGGACGGTCCCGTGGTGGGGGAGGATGCAGCGGCTCGGGATTCGCTCGACGTGGACATGGAGGTGCCGTGAGGCGTGCCCCTGTTTGTGGTGAACAGCAAGGAATGTAGGAGTAGTGGATGGCACGCTGTCCGCGCGTGCTCGGTGAAGCTGTCCGATACCGACCAAATCATTGATTTTATCGGGTGTGGACATCCCTCGGGAGCTCGAACACCTCGCGTGAGGTGCGTGGCCCTTGTTGATTAGACTTCTGAGGGCCCGACGACGGGACCCGGGTGTAGCCTCAAGAGCGGAGTGCCGAGCTCGAGGTGTGTCCTGCCACGCTACTAGTAGTAGAAGTACGACCGCTCCACCCCGACCCTCTGTCCCCACAGGAAAATCCCAACTGTGCCGCTCTCCGATTGTTAGGGTCTTGCATGTGACTGGCGGTGTCCTTCTCCTGCGGCGGCGCTTGTATGTGAGCTTGCGATCCTACCAGTATAAGAAGTACGAGGACTTCAGTACGGTGCTCGGGCGGGAACAATACAGCTATATGTGAGCGAACGGGGTGGGGGGCGATAATGGACATGGCGCGCGGGCGCAGCGCCTATATACCAAGGGCTAAACAACACGGAGACACGTACGCAGACTAGATAGCACGGTAAGTCAACTTGTAACCCCCAGCGGTCGGCCGCGTATCGTACCCACGACGGCACGTACGGGCGACTTGAACGCTCCGAGGGCCACGGCCGACGTAGACGTCGGCCGCATTGATATTGGATTGTCGCTCCGCCGTCAGCTTGGCCGTCGAACGCCTTATCACTGGCAGGCCGAGGAGTGGATAGACGATCTCGCGGTGAGGACGGCGCCTTTCTGCGCGACGATGGTTCTTCCCCCCCCCCCCTCGAGGTGGGGAGCGCCGCGCCGCCGTCTGAGCAGTATCTGCGCAAAGTCCTAAGACCTACCAGCTATCATAGACTGCGATGCGGGCGCGCCAAAGCGCAGCAGCGGTACCACAGCGGCGCTCACGATAAACCGACCATCGTTGGTCGCGGCGATCGTGCGGTGGCTACGCCGGGAGGACTTGGAAAGACACGTCCTACTACTGGGACTCCCGGAGAGGCCGGGAGCGGGGCTGGGAATAGGCCGAACGGTAGTGAATGGTCTCGATGCGTATTCCATCGCATCTGGAGGCGGATGAACGACAGTTCGGATGTGTCGTGACCCCCCTCTCCACCCAAAGACATCATCGAGGGTCGATGCTACTAGTACGTCTTCTCGGAACACGCACAGTTCACCGACGCCGAAGGAGCAGGCGCCACTGCCAACGTCCCAATTCGTGTGACAACTTTCCGCGCGCGTACGGGTGTGGGTCATACCCCACCGGTCTTCCGCGCGAAACAGGACGACACGTGAAGTGCATAGCGGCACACGCCCACCCGTACGGCTCCGAAAGCATTGAGCTACAACTCACCATCGAGAAAAATCAGGTTTGATCTTTTGGGTCTCGTCTGACGCAAGGTCATTCGAAGCCCCCCCCCCCGCAAAAAAGGGGGGGACACAGAACGTGAACAGTGGAAGCAGAAGCCAGAAAAATTGCTACACCTCCCCCCAAGTTCCGGCGCGAGTCTAACGGTTCGAAAAAAAAGAAAAAGAAAAAAAGGTAGCGGCTAGATCAACCACCAGCCACCATCACTTGCACACGCACGACCCAAGGCGGAACTACGGCCTGGTCCACTCGGGATACTGTTATGCGCCTCCATGTGGGGTGGTGCCGGGGGCGCGCATTGAACGGAGCCCGGGCGCTCCCGCGGTGTGGTGGCCACCTCCGAGACCGTCTCCTCGCGGGTTGTGGCTCGCGCGTCTCGCCGCCCCGAAGAATGCTAAGATGTATGCGGGCCGAACGGACGACATCAACGGCGCACGGGAGGAGCTGGCGTGTCTTCGGCTCGCACGCAGTCTAGGTCGCATCTGGGGTCAGGGGGTCTCGGAGTACTTGAGAGAAAAGGCAGATCGGTTGCATGGGTCGGGTCCGATGAGCTGGGCACGGTGTTATGAGAATCAGGGGAAGACGAGGGTTGCATGCGGGTCTGAGCAGATGGAAGGGCCTGCGCAGTGTATGTTCGGCACTTGAACCTGAACGTTTGAACCTTGCGGCAGCACGGTCAGTGGCGCTGCTCAAGCGGTCGAGGGGATGCCAAAAATGAAGCGTGTGGGACTCTGGGAATTTCGTTGGGACCTATGTGCCGCCCGGTCGGTATCCGATGCAAAATCGAAAGGCAGCCCCGCCGAGACAAACCAGCGCGGCGCGAGCATGCGAGTCACCAGTCAATGTGTGTCTGCCGTTGACCCGTCCAGTCCGGCGAGCACGCAAATCGACGGAGGATAGGTCGAGAGAGGGCCGGGTACTCAGGCGAAACGAAGAGCGGCGAGGAGAGGGCGTCCATGTGTACCTGAGTGCGGTGCGGCTCCATATGGTGTCTCGCAGGAACGATGGTGGGGTTGGCGGTCGGAGGGGGAGCTGGCGTGTGTGGCAGGCGTGGAGAGACTCGCTGTCGATGGGCGGGAGCAGGACCGGGGAGGTACTCCAGAGTCCATACGGGTGGGTACTTGACGCTTGAACGCTGTCCAAGACCTGATGGTGCTCATGCTCCGTCGGCGGGCGTGTCTGCATGGCCCGGCGTGGACGGCGCAAAAAGAGGATTTGATGGCCGGACAGTCGGCGGAGGTGGGCTTGCAGA